GCGGTCCTCTTCAGGTGGTCGTTGTCCTCTTCGTAGTCTTCTTTCGGCTGTAGAGGTTTCGGGTATCCCGACGAGCGGCCGCCTGTTCACCAACTCGTCACTATCGGCTCGCATACTGCAACGCCCAGCGATAGCTCCAGACGTGCCCTGACGCTCCTCAGGTAGCGGCATTTTTCCGAGGCTTTGTTTAAACTCCATTTTCATAAGAATATGGGGTGACTAGGAACACGCGTCACTCTTCAAGATATTCGCGTAAGCAAATATCCACTTGCGTGTTGTGTATAATGTAGGAAAGTAGGGAACATGGACGTGGGAGTTGGAAAGTAAAGTGGGTAGGTAAGTACTAAAGGTGGTTGGACTGGTCACCTTTAGTGCCCATTGATCGCCTTTTACGATCTCTAGGGCGAGAGTGGGCCTATTCTATCCCCGAACCCACAGGGTATTATTATTATTATTATTATTATTATTAACACTTTTCGCCTTGAAGAGATGGTTCGTTCGACTCGCAACTGGGTAACGATCTAGTCTGAAACTGATAATAACAATTAATAGTAAGAAGACTAAGCTTCATAAAAAAGCATAATACAAATTCTTTATGATTCATGATTATATTTGTCTCAAAACCATGAATAATGCTTTTGCAATAACAAAATATGAGAAATATTAATAAAATACTAATAAAGCTGAGAACAATATTCTGTTATTTCTACATTTGTGACGTATGGCGTAAGCTACTAGGTCTATTTACGAATAGCTGGAAAATGATGAACCTATCTCGCCTACATTATAAAAGGCAATTTCTTATATGCCAAAAATGTAGATAAACAAAACCTATCAAATTATAAATCACAAGTTGCATTCGACCAAGCCGGAAGGAAGGAACAAAAATTTGAAATCGCATCTTCAAAAAATTGGGACAGGAACTGTTTTAAAATTAACACTGGAGCGAAAACACAAATCCTTTTCTTCAAACATAAGATAAAAGTTGTTAGGGAAATGTTATTTTTTAAGAAAAAGTTATACAAAACTACCTTTACTTTACTCAATTTGTAAAGCTCATCTCTCAGAATGTGAGAATAATGCAGAAAATATTGAATTTATATAAGAGATTATTACACTTTAACAATTTCCCGTAAAAAATAATTTATACATCACTGTAATATGATTTGCTCTGTTCTCCGCTTTCATATAGCAGACTTTATGCATTCAAATATTCCCAACAGCGAAGTAAATTTGCCCCCTTTAAGGAACCTTTAGGAAAACATTACGTTTGAGGAATTCTTTTAAATTGAAGCTGCCAGTTTTAAGTCGCAAAGATTTAGAAATTCTTTATTGAATTCTGAAATGGTGTGTCGCATATTTTACTGGAACACGGAGTTTTAACGCACTTCTTTCCTTTTGCATTGTGAGGTCGCACTTTAACATATTTTGTACGTGCTTACTTCTTGTAAGTACCAGAATTTATAAACTCTAATATAAACTTTGTATGGAAATGAAAGTTAAAAAGTACTTACTGAATTTATTTTACCATTTTGTGGTTTTCCTATATAAAAGTTTTGTTGTCCGTTTTTCTCGTCTCAGTTAAACTTATCTGGAAGTTAATTACCATGTAAGTTGTAAGTTAACGTACACATACACATATCTATCAGATCAATTAAACTAAGTCAAGTAGAACCTACCCCTTAACATTACAATTATATTAGGTACCTACCTACCTTTATTAGGTATAGGATTGAATGAGTAGGCTGAGTCTCTTTAACAGTTAGGGTAGAGAAAGTGTTCGCTTTAACGGAAACAAATCATTGTTCATTCCAATGCCATCTGTAATTCGTATTAAAAAAGGGACGCGGCTCACGAAGTAAAAATAAGTTGAGAACAGAATACAATATCGTTTTTATGGAAACGACGGGATATTCATTTATCAATATTTTCAAACTGTAATATAATATTCTTTTTTATTATACCTGAATCACAATCTCCGTTTTAAACACTCAAATGTGTGCGAAAATAGTACATTATATATCAAGGTAGAGAAGTCCACTATTATTGCCTGAGCACCAAGATTACATCTCGAGGCGCTTGCGCCGAGGGGTGTAAGGTGCGAAGGCAATAATAGACTTCTCTACCGTGGTATATATACTATTTTTTTCACTACTAGCACTTGAAATCCTCTAAATTAACATATTATATTGATAAGAGAGTTAACGGTTGGACAGAATTGTTTGTTTCTTAATTTAACATGTCAATCAAGTACGTGGAAGTACAAGTCAAACAGGCCGTATTTTGTTCTGTCATTGAGATTTTTCAAAGAGTAATTTCGTTCGAATTTTTCAAAATGTGATAATTTTAGGTATGTAATTTCTCTGGAAATTGCGAATGGTGGCAATTATTCGTTTTAGAGAACTTGTCTAAACGTTCATTGAGCGAAATTTCGGGTTGTGTTTTCTAAAAGTGACAGCATGACAGTTTTCATTATTGACTACTAGTTAATAATAAAAAATTATTAACCACTTTGAACAAATGCCGAGAAAGCCTACTTTACAAGTGGAAAAAAGGTTAATAATCATGGCATCAGACGCTAGTAGTGAAAAAAAGGCCTTTTTCTACTCCTATGTCGTAAACATACCCAAAATGTCACCCTGTACTGCACGTCTAAATCGTTCATTATATCATACGGTTGCATAATGAAAATTAGAACTGTTACTTAATATATATATATTACGTAACTACAATAAGTACTCGAAGAATTAATGGATGGTGCTAATTACGACTTGCATGGAACACGGAATAATGCACTTTAGAATACTGGGTAGTCCGATGCTTCCTTCCCGGGAAAACTCGTTAAAAGACGCGCAGCGTATTGAAGGCCTTAGTATTATCGATAGTTAGGTACCTAATACATTGGCAACTGCAACAATAGAAATCGTTGAAAACTGTAATGAAAAAGAGCACAAACACCACCTGAGCTAGTTAGGTAGTAATCTTCAACTTCAACACTTTTATCTTGTATCCTATTGGCTATTGCATCTATGGTGCTAAAATGAAACTCACATTGCAGTAAGGAATAGGGATGTAAAAACCCTGCAATACACTTTCAATCTAAGTAAAAAGTATTTATAAAATTCTTGCTCGTTGGCGTGCATTCATGGAATATAAGTAAGCTTAGGTTGTATTTTGTATTCCGTTTAAATAGACCATGACATTTGACACTTGACAGTTCTAATCTTTAGTTCGAAGTTCGAATATTTAGAACCAAATCAATCTGAATCTATCAATCTTTTATCAATTATATTCAAGTCGTAGAAAAAGTATAGTACATAATTCGAGTGCTAATGCCTATTACGCACTCGATTTTATTACAACACTCGCTCGCTGCGCTCGCTCGTCTCGCAAAATACTCGTGCGAAATAGGCTTCTTAGCACACTTATTATGCAATATACTATTAAAACACACGTGCTTTAAAGTTGCTAAGTAACGATACTTCAAGTATGACTTTTGAAACTGTCATCTGGATGAAATAAAAAATCCTCTTAGGTCGCTTTCTGTAAATGCAGAACATTTCTTTGGCTTGTACCTATCCTTTGGTTGAAGCTTTTACAAACGCGCGTAATTTAGGGCATGCTTCCAAATCTGTTCCACTTTTTAGTCCCAGCAATAAGTGAAGTTTTGAATGAATGCACCAAAAGATAGAAGATTTAAATACCTTTGACATTTCCTTCATTTATGCCAGCATTATTGATGCATTTAATTGACTTTATTCGTAAGTAACTTCCTATTCATCCAAGGAAACAACTTTTCATATGCTTGATAATAGGCTTTACTGGATTGAGATTTTACACCTACCAACGTTTGTTTAGATTTTACAACAATCGATTTAATGGACGGTGTATTATCTTTTTCAACGGAAATCGTTTAATTCACAAAGACGATGATTTTTATAAGCAACGTCAAGTGACATTTCCATGGCAATCGTGAAATTACGAACACCCAGCCCACTTAATTAGACATGTATATTTGAGTATAACTTCAATATTACTTCATTGTATTTCCTATTTTTAAATCATACTGCAGGTATAATAAAAAATACTATAAGATACACGTGTATAATTGGTCTTTAAAGCACTTGCAACGTTAAAGGCACTCCGCTTTGCGTCGTGCCCTTAAACTCGTTGCGCGTGCTTTAAAGACTTGATTATACACTTGTATCTTAATATACGATTTTACATAGTGGTGAAATTATCGGACTTTTTTTAACGAAAAATCGTATGGAAAGTGGTACTTTTTTTCACGATTTTTACTATGCGTTTCTATGGAGTTTAATCCTGTCTATGATCAATAGCATCCATTTTTGAGTGACAGTAAATCGCGAATGTCAATCAAATTATTTAATTGTGGGTTATTATGGATCACTATGCAAAAAAATTTCGTGTACAACACGTGTTGAAAGTGTCTTTTTTCCATGAATTGGCTTGATTAACTCGAGCTTCGTCCTCATTAATCAAACTGCCAATTCATGAAAAAAAGTATCACTTTCAAAACTAGTTGTACAATAGTTATTTGGGTCGTTTTTCAACTACTAAATCTATGATGATAACTATATTAAAAATTTCGATCGGGTTTCTATACTAAATTGAGTTCTTACCAAATTGATATTGATTAAAATATAACTAAAATATGTGCAGACGTTTAATTAATAATGTATGATAGTGCAGTATTATTTCAGCCCCAACCCAATAGATTGATCGGTAACATAAATAATTAAATTGACGTCCAATTCCTACATTAATTTAACATTATATTCTCTCACCCCCCACCTATAAACTAAGCGAAAATCTGTTCCAGAATGCACCAATTTCAGGGCAGCGATACACGTGATAGGTCCAGTTACAATGGAGAATCCTAAAAAAATCCCCATGTTTGCGAAAATCCGAGGGTATATTAAATTAACAGGGCTAAATGTAGATACAGAAATTGGCGAGTTGAATAAGTTGTTTTTATGGCTATTTCCATGCATATTGTATTTTTACACGTCAATCGCATTCTTTAGAAAGTGGGATTTCGATAGGGACATTCCGTATGTTCTCGGATTCGCCTATGGTATGTAAATCTCGTTTTTTCCACGATTATTTGCAATTGTTTTCCCAGCTTTGCCACAAATTACTATAGTGAGATTGAGAAGATCAACATTCGCCTCCATTATTGATTTACTGGAATGTGTTGATGTATCGCAAATGAACGATGCTGCCAAATTTCAAGATTCTTTAATAAAAATTACGTCGAAGGTGGTAAGTTGTTGCACGTAATTGTCGTCAATTTATATTTTGCTCGTAAGGGGAACGTAGCATGCCCTTTCGGATCTGCAGCAATTCCTCTGATGGTCGTTCTATGGTTTATATTTGGACAACACTCTGACATGCCCTTCAATACATTACCGGCTTGGCTTATAAATTACAACTACTGGCTTTCGCTACTTCTTCAAGTAACAGTTTGTAGTGCCATTTGTCAAGAATACGTGGTATTAGGAGCTACAAAAATTTGCTTTCTATTGCAGTTACGAATGCATTTCAAACACTTAAAGTCGAACGTCCAAAACATACTGGAGGTTACAGAGGCTAATGAAGAAATTCCATGGACTTATTTGCAAAAGAAGTTAAAGCATTTGATCGACTATCACTTTTCCATTATTAAAATTGCTGAACAAGTGGAGACGTTGTTTAACAAATGCGTGCTTACCGGTTTCATAGTCTTATCAGTGTTTATTTGCATTTCAATGTATGCAATCCTAAGTGTAAGTCGCCCCTTTGCAATAGTTAAATATTTTAATCCCCATTTACAGAATCCCTTATTCGGCCCCGACTTTTGGAGATTTATTTTCTACATTTTTATGACTTTCATGCCCTTTTTTGCAGATTGCTTCTTCTCACAACAGGTCATAACCGAAAGTGAAGAGTTGTTCAGTTCTTATTGCGCAATAGATTTCGTTGGTACTGATTTGAGATTTCAAAAAGCGTTATTGGTGCTTTTGGGCCAGGGGCAAAGAACCATAGGCTTCACGATTGGGAAGTTTGCTCCACTATCGATTATTACAATAGTTACTGTAAGTACCTGTAGTGCATGATGGTTTTTATTATATGGCTTCTATAGGTTTTGAAGACCGCATTTTCCTATCTAACGTTCTTACAAAACATGAAGGGAAAGTGAAGCCCGAACTTCAAAAAAGAGATACCTACGCACCTAACGGTTATAGTTATACAGTAAATCTCACCGAATGTTTTCAAACAGCACAGATTTGCAAACTTTGGTACATAGGTACACTCATTTTCTAAGCTGCACAATATGTGACCTATTCATATTTCAAAAAACAACTGCTGAATTTTTGCATCCAAAAGTCATAAAAAAATCAACTGATTAAGACCTTAACTGAAGACTTACCAGTTACCGTCCTACAAAAACATATTTTCTGTTTTTTGTTAATTTTGATTTGAGGCAGTAGTACCACAATTTACCATTAGGTAGATCTCTATTGACCTTTTTAAGGTGTATCGAATGTTTGAAATAAATGTAACGTTATGTTAACGAATGCGTAAATTTCAATAAACACTCTCAGTTTGGACAATTTGTGTATTCGCTGATTCATTGATTTATTTTGAGCTTCTATTTTTAAGTGGACGGTGTTTCAGCCAAAGCTGTTTTATCAACCCAACCCCCTATACATTTACAAATATCCATGCCCGAACCCGGATTCCATCAAAAGAGCACTCCTCTCGTAGATGGAAACCTTCCTTCTCTGAAACTGACTTTATTCCGAATTTCTATAGAAATATGCGAAAATATTAAAAATTCGCCTCAAGTAGGCGCTGCAAGTGGATTATACTGCATTAATTATAAGAAGGTAGTAGATGGCGCTACGTTTGAAGATAAACACACACAGGAAAAATATAAAACGGCACCAAATTATTGTAAAGAAGAAATATCCAGTACTGTGAACAGAAATAATTCTTTGACATTAACAGCTAATGACACTTCGGCAGTTTAGTTGGCAACATAAACTACCAGCTTACAAAATTCGCCACTCGTTTTATGTTTCAGTGTAATACTGACTCGTGTTTTAGCCAATCACATTGAAGGTCAAAGCTTCCCTATGCTTTCTACCGCTACCTTCTTAAAATGAATACAGTATAGTTTATTTACAAACTTTGTTGTAACACTCACGATTAAATTTACGAGACATATGCTCGAAAAGCTTTGAAGCAATTGAACTTCACCATGCATAGGCGTTTTGCTTAACAAATCCTGTAATAAAACAAAAACTAAAATACTTATGCACCCAGAACACAAGGGCCTGGAATTTGATGGCCAAGGGCCAGAGTAAAAGTATTTATCCGGCAAAATTGCGCATGCGTAACAGATGTATGACGTACCAATCATGTGCCGGCTGGACGGGTCCCGTCTGTTGCCAGTAACATTGCAGCCGATTGCGAGGGTGATGAAAATCCCCAATGCCCAAAAAATAGTGCCTATCGAAATTCATCATGAGTTTTGTCAGGTCTATGGACCGAACGTCATGATCAAACAGCAATTTTCCACAGATATCGCGATATTTGTTGCCTGAAATTGTCAACACGCACCTCTGACAGGGGAGAAAATAAGTTGCTGCCATTATATGAGTCACTGCTGTAGTACTACCGGCACCTGTCGGGACCTGTCCCGCCAGCATATAATTTTGCCGGATAAATACGTTTACTTTAAAAGAAAGTAAAAATGTGCCAAATTCTTGACAGAACAACTTCCTAACTCAAACCAAAAATCGCGCTTTTGGAAGAATGTCTTCCGAAAATGGGAAGTCTCCGACGGAAGTTTAGTATTTTCCAATGTAGATATCCAATATTCAATTAAATTATAGATGTTTATTTGAGAAAATTAGTTTCCCCACACCCTACACATGATCCTTAAGGGACAGTTATGTGAAAATGTACATACATCATTAAATGGTCCCTTCCATATGGAGAATATTTTATATTATTACTTTTTTGATACCCTCCCCCCCCCCCCCACTAGTTTCCGCAAAAATCGACTGTCTCAAGATGAATGGAACACCCTCTATATAAATTAATGAAGTGATATTCAAATATAACATTAAGGAACTGGTAGTCACAATCCACAAGAAATGACCGCTTATCCAGGTGCCGTTTAACCGCAATAAATCATCACCTGAAACTGATATCTTTTCTAAGCAAAAATTCTTGCTTGAAAAATATTGTATATGACCCGCATTTTATTATCGTTCTATTCCGAACGTAAAAAAACTCGGGCAAAAACAAAATTTACCCTTTATTAAACTAACTAATTCTAATTAGTTCGCGATAGACGATAATTTTTGTATGATACGTTCTCCCGTAAATATCTCGAGCCTCACGTTGTTGCGAGTTCACGCGCTTAATGTTTAGCGTGCTATCGTTTGCGTTTCGTCCGTCTTCGAACCCACTTCTGCGATTTTGACCTTACGGGAATGGTCCTAGAGTTCTAAAAGTTTTTGCCATATGTAGCCTATCCCTTGAAAGTGGGCCAACCGGCCATTAAATTTCGCTGTCTCAAGCCCCCCCCCCCCGCCCCCCATGAATTGATTCCTGAGATCCTGTTTTTGAATGTAAAAACCGAAAACGTGTATAACTTTTACATGCGACAATCAACTGGTCTCAGCATTTGCATACGCATGCCTTTAGTGATGCCAAGTAAAATGGAGGGGGGGGGGGGGTTAACGCACGTTCTACCCTTCATGGTATTCTAATGAAAGGTCTCACCGAAATGAATGGGTTTGTACAAACTATAACTTTTCTGCGCGACTCCTTTCCGAGAAGCTGCTTATCAAAAGAGGGGATTTGGGGGGGAGCTAGTTTTATCCTTCATGGTACTCTAATGAAAAGATTCAACGAAAGGAATTAATTTACACCAACCAAAAGCTCCTCCTCGACTCCTTATCTTCATTGAATATAAATAATTCCTTATACCTATCTCAAGAGCAGATTGTCGGACGATGGTCCTCGCGATTGGGACGTCTGGAAGAAATATATCTATTGATAATGTCAAAACTTTACGAACGAATATCTCAAAAACGCTTTGTCGGAGGAAAGTACTCACGAAGGCAAATGAATTGTCTGGACGAAACGTATCTATTGGTGAAGTCTCCCCATTAATCATATAACAAGAAAGGAAACTTCGATAAATATATCATGCTACAACCTTATAAAGTTATAACGCACCCTCGGTTTAAAATAATGCCCTTTATTTGCACAAGAGTTGTGCACAATTTATACTTATTACCTTTGTTTGTGTTTATCACTAATAATTAATTTATTGTCTACAGTCAAGCAAATTTGCTACCGGTAGTACCATTATTTGAATGCGCAACCACTTTAACCCTTCGCTCGTTAGTCGTTAATAAAAAAATGTGTGTTACTATTTGAAAAAAAAAGGTATGAGTAAAAAACTTTCTTAACTAAATACTTTTTAATCTTGATTCTTAAAGATGCGTCAAATTAAGGCAACGTATTGTATACTTTAACGGCTATGTAGGTGGATCCGTTTTGACTTGTTGTTGTATGTAATTTAAATTGTAATAAATAAATATAAGCAGGAAATGTTAATTAAAAGCATTTTTCAATTTTCTTGATAAGCAAGATTTGAATTATAAAAATATGACTACCTATGGCCCGAAACTAGGATTCACTTCTCCACAACCGTCAAAAATAAACCCTAATCCCAATTGTGGCTATGCAATTTTTTAGGCAACGAATACCGTAAATAATGCGGTTTAATTTTCTGGACCTGATCCGTGTGGTGAGATCATCTTAATGTGCATATTATTGAACCGAGTTGGTCCAAGCGTTTGCCAATTATTGTGTTCACAGGCAGACAGACGTAATATATGTATTGAATCACTCAAATTGCCTATTATTCTATTATATGATCTATGAGCTGTTTTGTTTTGAAATGGAAGTCGTGTACTTAAAAGGGATGATCGGCGATACGCTTACTGTCTTGATATGTGTTCAAAGCATTTCTTTCATATCGCTCGCAATCAGTAATACATTTAAGATTAATGAAGTGTACTGAACTACTGTAGTCCCCACCAAGGGATGCACCTTGTCGTGGTGGGGGGGCTTAGTAGTCACAATTTTCTGTGGCGAAGCTAAGCATCCCAGGCGGGTGATTGTTAGACTCCATGGCTTTAACTCATAAAGTCTAATCCATCCTACTCGATTCCCTATAATCTGGTTCAAAGGATGTCTTATCATTCAAATGCTTCATTGAGTAGAGATATTCCGAAAGGGTACTCGCCGTCTGCTCATTAAACGTAATATAGGAAATTATATTGACATGGGTTTTCGTTATCATAAATCCTTCAATATCGAGCGTACGAAGTCGCGGGGGAAAATCTAGTTTTTGTATATAAATAAAATACTGATGGACACTCAATCACTCAAATTGCCTACTATACATTAGAGAAAACTTCATTACTGTATAGTAGACTTACAAGAACAAAGAAACGATTATTTCAAAATATGGGTTATTTTCCACTATAGAACAAAAATTAAAATGATTGGGCTGTTTTTCATCATAATCTTCATCTGTACGTGTCTACGAGGTATCTTGAACGAGAATGATGATTTGCTGAACCGTTAATGCCGAGTTGTAGACCATTGCCCCGCGATTTCTTGCGGGAATTCATTGAAGTAATTTTGTTCAATTTCGTTTGGAGCATAGCAATGCACGCCACTGCTGCCAATACTAAATCAACCACTTCCTTGGACCTTTGAATATTTTATATTCAAAGCTTGGACATCATAGCACAGATTTAAACACTCAGGTAGTGGTAGTGCACGTCTTTGTATGTGCGTTTTTGAATACACGTATACATAAACGCGTACAAAAACGAGCGTCTGTAGGGTCCTTCAGGGAAACAATTTCAAACTTTGGATATTTAATGACACTTTTGATTGTTGGGAAAATTATTCTCATTTTATTTGCACTGGTAAATGTAATCACGCAGTTGCATTTAGTAGGGACTAAAACATCATTTATCTCTATGTATAAATTATTATAAATCTTATTTTTGACCTTAAATCCTTATTTTTCTAATAGTGTTCCAAATCAAGTTCCATAAAAGAGTACAACCCTCTACTACATTTCAAAGCGTTGAT